TTTCATTGACCTCTGTGAGGCCACTTCCACCAGTTCAGAGCCTCTGATGAGGTGCTTCTGTTTCTGCTGCCTACTTCAATCAAAACCTGCTTGTCCTAACTGACCTCTGAACCAGTTCTTGGAGTCACTAATAAAAGTCATCAGTGTGCTCCAAACATTCTGTCCTCCTTCCTAATTTCTGCAGATCCCTTACGAATCCCCAAGGTTGGGTAGTCAGAGGTTCGGATTGGTTTGCTGTGATCTATTTGCTGTCTTTGGGTTTGTATTCCTTAGAAATGATGTTTGGTTTTCTATGCACTTCCCTTTTGCTGAATGGCACCCAAAATAAACAGCACAGATTTTGACAGGGGCAAGTTTAGCTGTTCAAACATGCATACCCTGCTGACATTCAAATCCATGGATTGTACCACATACCAATGTGTACAGAGTCAGTGACAGGTCTGAAAAACCTTAACTGATTTATCATTTCCAGTGGTAGTATAGAATGACTATTCCACCAACCCTGATTCTCAAAGTCTTTCATTCTTTAAAAAAACTGTATTACATTTCAGGTCTACAGATACTTACCCAGGCCCTGGGCTGACAAAATGATGCCAACAGTGTAGGAAAAGAAATGAACAGTGTTTTGAGGGAAGTGGAATTAAAAGCAGTTACATGGGGTGCCTGGGTGGCTCAGTCAGTTAAGCATCTGCCTTTGGCTCTGATCATGATCCTGGGTCCTGGGATAGAGTCCTGCATGGAGCTCCCTTCTCAGCGGGGAGTCTGCTTCTCTTTCTCCCTCTGTTCCTCCCCCTCCTCCCCCGCCCCTCTGCTTGTTCTCTCTCGATCACTCTCCCTCTCAAATAAATAAATAAATAAATAAGTCTTTTAAAAAATAAAAATAATCTAAAATCAGTTACATAAGTAAAATGAAGATTGTAACTCAGACCAAGGCAGGAGAAAGGACAATATTTGGCTGCTAATTACAACTCAAACACCAACCAGTGGTGGGTCCTTGGGAAACATCACTGAATTTCCTCATCTGAACTAGATCTATGATTTCCAATTTACCAAGTGTAACAATCATCTGGAGTGTCTATTAAAAACACAGATTGCTAGCCCTCAGCCTAGCCCTACTGAATTGGAATCTCAAGGGAGGGGATCTGCAAAAAGACACACACACTCACAGCACCCTGTGTCATTCCTTTGAACAATTTTGGGGAACACTGAATTACATAATATTTCAGTTCTAAGAGACTGTGATAAACCCTGGATGTCATGATTCACCAGTGAATGGGAAAAATCTGAAGAGAATATTCATTAGTTAATTCATACTTAGTAATTTAATATTTTCTATTTATTTTTTGAAAAGTTGCTAAAGTTAATGTTATGGTTTGTGTTTTAGGGATCTAGGTATTCTTCAGATTTTTCTTTTCATTTTTTTTTTTAAGATTTTGTCTATTTATTTGACAGAGAGAGATCGCAAGTAGGAAGAGAGGGGGAAGCAGGCTCCCCCTGAGCAGAGAGCCGGACATGGGGCTCGATCCCAAGACCCTGAGATCATGACCTGAGCTGAAGGCAGAGGCCTAACCCAGTGAGCCACCCAGGCGCCCCAGATTTTTCTTTTCTCTTTGATTTATTCATTGTAATATCTGGCCTATCTAGTCCATGGTGTTCTGTTAAGCATAAATGAGATCAGGATGTGAAAATTTGTTGCTATCATTATTATTATTATTACTGCTATTAGTATAATAACTGTAGGATTGACTCTGATTTTATGAATCTGTAGTATCTGCTGGTGTCAGCTTTGTTCTTATGGTTGAAACCAGACAAATGAGCAAAACACAATTATTTCTTTATTTATTAAAAAATTTTGAGTATTGATTATGTACAAAGCATTATGTTACAGTCTGTCTAAAATGTTTAGAGTGCCTTTTCTTTCTCTCCCTTTTTTTTTTTAAAGCTGGAAACCTCCCATTTAGTAATACTTTTATTTATTTTTTTAAAAGTTGTATTTAATTCTTTTGTAACTTCTATACCCAAGTGGGGCTCAAACTCATGACTCTGAGATGAAGAGGCACATGATCTTCTGATGAAGTCAGCCAGGTGTCCCCATTTTGTAATACTTTTATTTTTTTAAAAGATTTTATTTATTTATTTGACACAGAGAGAAAGACAGGGAGAGAGGGAATATAAGCAGGGGGAGTGGGAGAGGGAGAAGAAGGCTTCCCACTGAGCAGGGAGCCTGATGTGGGGCTCGATCCCAGGACCCTGGATCATGATCTGAGTTGAAGACAGGCGTTTAATGACCAAGCCACCCAGGTGCTCCCCCCCCCCCAATTTTTAAAATATTTTTAATGAATAAAAAGTTTTATTGGTCTTATCAATGTATCAGTGCACTATAAAATTAATAATACGGGCACATTTATTCAGTTTATAGAGAATGTATGACACACATTTCAAAGAAATGATTCTTAGTGCTAAATCTACAGGCTGACAGATCAGTAGCTCTCAGTTTAGGGTGTCTTTTGTATGCCTTCCTCTCCTCTAGGACACATTGCTTTGGGAGAAATGAGTTACACCAATGTTTTCATCCCAGGGTTCAAACCTGAACAGTGGCACAAGACTATGTAGTGAGACCTCGGTTTTAGGAATCAACAATGACAAATTATACTTATGTAGCGCTCCACAATTAATGAAATACTTTCTCATCTAAAATTTTATTTCTGGGATCCCTGGGTGGCTCAGTCAGTTAGGCGTCTGCCTTTGGTTCAGGCCATGATCCCAGGATCCTGGGATCAAGCCTCACTTTGGCCTCCTTGCTCAGTTCCTCCCCCTCGTTCAGGCTCGCTCTCTCTCTCAAAATAAATAAATTCTTAAAAAACCACAAAATTTTAGGGGTGCCTGGGTGGCTCAGTGGGTTAATGCCTCTGCCTTTGGCTCAGATCATGATCCCAGGGTCCTGGGATTGAGCCCCGCATCGGGCGCTCTGCTCAGCAGGGAGCCTGCTTCCTCCTCTTTCTCTACCTGCCTCTCTGCCTACTTGTGATCTCTGTCTGTCAAATAAATAAAATCTTTAAAAAAATAATAATAAATTTTATTTCTTCCCCAGTAATCCTCTGGCGTAGGCAGGGAGGTCTTGTGAGATGTGTAGGGAAGCTATGGTGCCAGTACTAGAAACAAGGCCTCTCAGCTCTCAGTTCAGTGCCCTTCCCATTTCTTCTATGGTACCTCTGGTTCCACAGCTGGAGTGGCAATAGAAAATGGGCTCTCCTTGGGGTGCCTGGGTGGCTCAGTGGGTTAAGCCTCTGCCTTCAGCTCAGGTCATGATCTTAGGGTCCTGGGATCGAGCCCTGCGTCCAGCTCTCTGCTCAGCAGGGAGCCTGCTTCCCCCTCTCTCTGCCTGCCTCTCTGCCTCTCTCTGTCAAATAAACAAATAAAATCTTAAAAAAAAAAGAAAAAAGAAAATGGGCTATCCTCCATATCTGTGCAAGGATCTTCTATCACGGGAAAGATACAGGAAGAATGACGGAGCTAATTCGCTTGGACACTCATGCTGGCATCTGTTTCAAACTCTCAGGATCTTGCACTTCTTCCTTCCTCTTGTATCTATTCTGATATCCTCTAAAGTGGAGTTAATGTCTTCTGACTGTAGAACATAATCCCAGAGTAAGAGGAGGTTAATCCATCATTTCATTTAATCCTTAGAACAGTAAACACATTTACTATGTCACATTAAGGTATTAAAAGCTAATGTGAAAACAGAATAATGTAAACCTAGTGGGGAAGGTAGACTATGATAGCATTCATCTCCAGTGCCCCACTCATCCCAGAGGTTCCAGATTTTCTAAAGGCACAGTGGAAGGAGCTCAGGCAGAAGAGACCAAGGCAATTAACCGGGCTGCAGGAGACAAAGCTCTTCTCTGGCGTTCTCCTGAAGCATCAAAGGCAAGCTCTTTGCAGAGTCAGCTAATCACTGGTGCCGTGGTTTCCAAAGAGAAGTATCACATTCCCCAGCAGGTGTTGACTACTTGGGAGTCCAAGTGGGAAGGTGGCCATCTCCTGGAACAGGAGACGATAGGGTTAGGGTTCAGGGCTCAGTCCTGCAGGAATAAAAAATCCAGGGAGATCCACCACCCCAATTTAGAAATAAAAATATGGAGCAACTAGTTAAATTTGAATTTCAGGTAAATAGTGAAATGATTTTTTTGGCATAAGTATGTCCCGTGCAATATATATGCAACTCAAACTTGACTGGGCAGCCTGTGTTTTATATGGCAATGCTAACAGGGACAACACACTTCAGAACATTCACAGGGTGTGTTCCTTGCTTCCGCCTAAGACCTCTTGTTTTCGAGCACCTGGGTGGCTTAGTTGGTTGGATGTCTGCCTTCAGCTTGGGTCATGATCTCTGGGTCCTGGGATCGAGTCCTGCATTGAGCTCCCTGCTCAGCTCCCTGCTTCCTCTACCCTTCCCTCCTGCTCATGATCTCACTCTCTCTCAAATAAATAAATAAAATCCTAAAAAAAAAAAAAAGGGCCCCTTGTTTCCCCTATCTTCTCTGTCATTACCCTGAAGTTCTGTTCATAAGGTAAGAAGAGGAGGTGGGTTCCATTTCCCAAATGATAATATCTGTAATATTATTTCCATTTTGCATAATTAAAATTTACATTCATCCAGAGCTTATCCAAAACAGTTTAGGAGATGGCTTCTTTTTTCATATAAAATGGCATTTTACAGGTGAGAGTAGAATGTGGTTTTCTCTTCAAAAAGTTCTTTTTTCATGAACATTTCCTTGACAATGTTCATTTCTTACAATCCCATTTGTGAAGAAGATGATTTGTGAAATTAATGGAGAACATCCACAGGAACATGTTCTTCATATAATCTTCTTTATTGAAAATACAAAACCAGGAATTAAAAATTAAACCTACTTGTATTGGTTGCCATGGGGAAATATTTAGTCTAAATCAGATGAAATATTGAAAATATACAGTTTGGTTTTTCTCTTCCCACCCAGGTCCTGCACCCTTCTTAATTTTCTCCCATGGAAACAGTATCTTTAGGATTGACCTGGAAGGAACTAATCATGAGCAATTGGTGGCAGATGTTGGTGTATCAGTGATCATGGATTTTCACTACAGTAAGGGAAGAATCTATTGGGTAGATCTAGAAAGAAAACTTCTGCAAAGAGTTTTTCTGAATGGGACAAGGCAAGAGGTAAAGTACAACCCTAAAGCATTTAAGGGATTTTTGTATAGGTTGACAAACATGGTATCATTAATTTGTAAAGAACAGATGAATGAAAATTACATTTCAATTGAAATATTTCGGACATTTGTAGATATTTGTTTAATTTGTATCTGTCGCATGTTACTGAACAAACTCATCAATGTGGCACTGATACTCAGAAGACCCCAAAAGGAGTCAGGATGTCAATGGAATTTTGAAACTATATAAATTTATTAAGTCAGGTCACCACTTCATGGTTAAAAGAGATTACTTACATGATTAGTTTTGGCTCCAGTGGTTCTCAGCTGAGGACAATTTTGCTCCTCCAGGGACATTTGGGAAAGTCTGGAAAGATTGTTGGTTATCACACCTGTGCTGGCAAGGAGAGAGGATGTGCTATTAGCATCTAGTGGGCAGAGCCCAGTGATGCTACTAACCGTCCTAAAATAGAGAGGATGGCCCCCACAACAAAGAATTATCTGGCCTCAAATGTCAGTTGTGCTGAGTTTGGGAACCTGATTTGTTGAATGTCATGGGTTTTAGCACCTGATATTTAGGAAGAAAACATTTTTGATTCTTTTTTTTTTTTTTTTAAGATCTTAGGTATTCATTATCCATTTGGGAGAGAGCACAAGTGGAGGGGAGAGGCACAGGGAGAGGGAGAAGCAGACTCCCTTCTGAGCGGAGAGCCCGACTCGGGGCTCAGTCCCAAGACTCTGGGGTCATGACCTGAGCCAAAGGCAGATGCCCAACCATCTGAGCCCCCCCAGGCGCTCCACCTTTTTTGATTCTTAAGGTGTTTGCACTCTGGGGGGAAAAAATAATAAAGCAGGTGTCAGATGTAAAGTATTTTGCTTCAAGTACGTACAAAAGATCTTTGATCTTTCTCTGTGACTGGTGGAACCATTAAATGAGTCCCAGGAGGAATGTTCTCTAGATTCCTGAGAGATGGATTACAGAGACGCGTGACTGGAGAAACCTTAAGCATTCATTCCCAGCACAAAGTGCCCACTGTTTCGTTTGTTTTTCTTCAACTCTTTCTCCCTTCAGTTATTCTTAAAAGCTTCACTTAAGTGCTAATTTCTTTTATCACATTCTGGGACTTACTAATGTCATCTTTAACGAGAATGGCTACTCATTATTCTCCAGCCATCTGTAAAATAGTTCCAAAAGTCTTGAGTCTCAAAATCTGGAGCGTTTCCTGTCACAGACTAGGGAAAAAAGTTAAATACTTGTGAATTTGTGTCAAATCATTAGGAAAGGATGGACATGGTGCCGAAAATCCACCATTGTATCCCTCTCCTTTGGGTTAAAACACTGTTACAAAAAACACCTGTTATACAATTCACCTGGGTGAGCTAATATATTAATATGTTGGCAGCTGGTTCAATGGCTTGGCTAGATTACTTTGCATGAGGTGTAGGAACAGTGGAAGCTTGTGAGACTAATCTGCAAAATCTGAGTTCAGTGATGTCGTGTCAGTGGCTAGAAATCAGCTATGGTGGGAATATTAACAAACCAAGGAAATCTGCAACCACACAAATCAGGGTTTCTCCCTACCTCCCACCCTGCACCCCCCAAGAAGACTGACCTGCACATGCTAGAATTAGGAGGTAAAAGAGGTTTTTGTTTGGTCATTATATCACTACAGAGCAGGAAACTGTACCCAAGGGGCATAAGGAGAGGCTCTGGTCTTTGGGCCATAGGGTCACAATGTGAGGGCACTGAAGACTTGTAGAAAAAGTGGGGCCTGATGGAAGAGAAGGGGCTAGGAAAGTGGGGCTCTAATGAGAAATTGATTTATTTTAGAAGTCTGTGCACAAAGGTCAAGGGCATCTTGCCAGATTTTGGCAAAGCTTAGAATTGGGTTCAGCTGAGAATGTGGAAAATTCCATTAGTAAATGGATAAACTGTCTTTAAGATAGCATGGAAATCTCTCTTATTATAGTTGAACTTGTTAATGCATTATGGTTGATTGCCTAATTTCAATAAGCCTAGGATGATTTTTCACTTTAAAGCCCAGAAATATTCATGAGGGAGGGTTAACATTGCTCCATCAAAACAATGGCACCGTATCTGTGACTATTTCATGATTTAAATAGTTTTATGAATGCACAAAAAAATGACAAGTACTTAAAAGAATAGACTTTTATACATAAAGATAAAAACAATGTTGATGTGAATGAGAAAATGGTAATATTTTGAAATTTGATTTTACAGAAAGTGTGCAATATAGAGAAAAATGTTTCAGGAATGGCAATAAATTGGATAAATGAAGAACTTATTTGGTCAAATCAACAGGAAGGAATGATTACAATAACAGATATGAAAGGAAACAATTCCCGAGTTCTCTTAAGTGCCTTAAACTATCCTGCAAATGTAGCAATTGATCCAGTAGAAAGGTAACTGCTGTTTTCAGACATTGAAATATATATCAAAATCGGATGATAATTCATAGAATCAACATTTTGAACTCAGAAGGACCTCCTCCCTGAGAAGGTTGCCTGGATTTGAACTAAGGCAGGCTTCCCTCTACAAGTGGGGCTCTTGACTACCATGATTTCCTACTAGAGAAGCCTAATTCCTTTTTTAACTTGAAATTACATGGAATTTCCATAGCAGGGCAATAAATATTGGTTGAATTGGAATTTCCTTCAAAATAGTCCAACTCATCCTGAGTGGCTATCCAGGGACCGCTGTAACACTGAGAGTTGGCCATTTAAGTGACTTTACCTTCAGTTACATGCCTATATAATGTGTTTGCTCTCAGGGTTATATTTTGGTCTTCAGAGGTGGCTGGCAGCCTTCACAGAGCAGACCTGAATGGCCTGGGAGAGAAGATTCTGTTAGAGACGTCAGGAAGAGTAACAGCTGTGTCAGTGGATGTGCTTGATAAACGGCTTTTTTGGATTCAGTACAATAGAGAAGGAAGCAATTCTTATATTTGTTCCTGTAATTATGACGGAGGTTCTGTCCATTTTAGCAAACACCTTACACGGTAAGTTTGGGTTTTAGTATAAGTTAAAGTAATTGCCACTTAAAGTTTGTCCACCTGAACTGGTAGAATGGCTTAGCACAGATTTGGAAGTCCAAAAGGCTTGAATGAGTACAAGTCCTAGATTTATCATTTATTGAACAAGTGACTTTGGGAAGATTACATGACTTTTTTTCAGTTTCCTTTTTTGGTGTGTGTGTGTGTGTGTGTGTGTGTGTGTGTGTGTTTAAAGATTTTATTTATTTATTTGAGAGAGAAAACACAAATTGGGGCCGGAGGGAAGTGGGAAAGGGAGAAGCAGACTTCTTAACCGAGCGGGGTGCCTGATGCGGGGCTCAATCCCAGGACCCTAAGATCCTGACCTGAGCTGAAGGCAGACGCTTAACCATCTGAGTCATCCAGACGCCCCTCCTCAGTTTCCTTTAATGTGGGGATAATAGAAGTAACTATTTCTCAGGGTTATTGTGAAAATTAAGTAAAGAAATGCAAATAAAAACATTTAACAGAGTTTTGGCATCTAATAAATTCTCACATGTTGGTTATAGGTTATAGTTGTTCTTTTTGGAATTACTATGCCCTATATTTGTGAAGCAATTATGTTTCATTTGATATGCTATCTTGCCTGTAACTGACTCACCAGCTTGTGGTAAGAGGCAGAAACTAGTGAAGTGTGAAATGGATACAACCAGAATCCACTCTTGGAGTATTTCTATTTTCTTCCCTATTTCTACTTTAATCACACTTAAATGCTGATTATCAAAAGAATGGGACAATGAATCTGAAGCTAGAAATCATACCCCATTAATTCAGATTATGAATAAATAAAATTTTAAACTTAATATCTGCTTCTAAACCTAAATGGGATATAATTGAAAAGGTAGGTAATTAAAATTCAGTCAATAAATTGAAATGAAGTGAAATGTTAATAAGCCTGGGAACAAATGTTCTGCCATTCTTTATATTTTTTCTGTTTTTCTGGTTTTTTGTTTGTTTGTTTGTTTTGTTTTTTAGGCACAATTTGTTTGCAATGTCCCTTTTTGGTGATCGGATCTTCTATTCAACATGGAAAAAGAAGACAATTTGGATAGCTAACAAACACACCGGGAAAGATATGGTTAGAATCAACCTCGACCCATCATTTGTACCACCTGGTAGAATCAAAGTAGTTCATCCACTCTTACAGCCCAAGGCAGAGAGTGATGCTTGGGCACCTGGTGAGTCATCTTTGACCTTGAACGGAGTCTGGTATTTTGTCCCCACCCATCTACCTGCTGAAGCCAGACAGTTAGGGGCCATCCTTGGTGTCTTCCACTGCCCCAATTTTCAGTCTACTGCCAAATCCTTTCCATTCTACCTTCTAAATACATCTTTAATATCCACTTCTCTCCTCTACAGTCCAACAACCAGCATTTCTTGCCTGGCCTGTTGTAGTAGCCCCTCAACTAATCTTTCTGTTTTTCCCTCTTGCCTTTAAATAGTTAATCTGATCCATTAACTCCCCTGCTAAAAATCCTTCAAAAGCTTTCCTTTGCACTTAGATTGAAATGTAACATTTTACCAGGCCTATCAATATTTGATGAAACTGATCTAACACTCCTCCTCCCCTCGCTAGAATCTGACTCAAGTCTTTCCATAGTTGCTCAAATATGCTGTCCCTTTCATGCCTTCAGGCTTTTGCTGTTGCTCCTTTCTCAGCCTAGACTTTGTCTTTAGTTCTAGCTTAAGTATCATGTCCTCAGATTAGCCTTCTCTGGTCATCCAGTCAAGAGGAACCTCTTCAGTATACTCTTCTCTGAACTTATCCCAAGATGTAATTACATATTATTTTGCTTTCTTTTTGATTTTATCTCCCACTTGATTATAAATATTGTGCAGGCAGGGACCATGCCTATTATTCGTTTGTTTATTATTTAAACCTCCCTACATTCAGTGGTTACTGATGTCTTTATAAATTAAGAATTTTAGATAACATTAGTAAAATGGATGGTTTGACTGAATCTAGCCGCAGTCCCAAATTTCTACTTCCAAATGCAGTCTCTGAATTCTTTAGCATACACTTTTTTTAAAGTTGGCTCCTTAATGTGGTTCCTATACCACACAAATGATGTACTAACATTTTCTATACGTAAAAGCTTAATTTCAAGCAGGCTTTGACATATATTTACTCTTATCCTCAATTAGCCGGAAGAGGTTCTGAGATGGAATTCTTCGTTTTCCTTCTATCTGTTGGGTACCACTGGGGCTTGGCAGTAGTGTGGGAAATGGTAGGGACTGTGGGTCCCTGCTGCAGTTCAAAGATGAATATGTCTTTTCCCACCCTAGACACAGGTTCTGAAGAGAGCTGTGGAGACTGAACAGAAGGACAGGCATGAGATTGCTGAAGGGAGGCTGGAATCTAGGGGAACTGACATTACTATTTCTTATGTCCTCAAAGAGCTAACTAATAGTGTGAGGACTTTTTTTTTTTAAGATTTTATTTATTTATTCGACAGATGGAGATCACAAGTAGGCAGAGAGGCAGGCAGAGAGAGAGAGGGGAGGAAGCAAGCTCCCCTCAGAGCAGAGAGCCCGACTTGGGGCTCGATTCCAGGACCCTGGGATCATGATCTGAGCCGAAGGCAGAGACTTTAACCCACTGAGCCATCCAGGCGCCCCCTGTGAGGACTTTTTAACTGATTTCTTTAAAAACTTAGGTAGAAACCATAATTTAACTTGGGTAACAACTCTGCTTTCAATGCAAGTGATGAGGAACTTCCAAGGATGAAATAAATTCCAAGAGATGAAGTGTTTATTCAGATAAATTATTTTTGAAAAAAACGGATTTACTTTAATTTACAAAGCGGAAGCTGTGGGAAGCAATTCAGCTGTGGGTTGGAGCATAACATTAAGTAACTACTTAGTGACAGTGTTATAAATGAGATGGTGACTGTATTCCATGCAATAAGGTGGCGAATCTGATATTCTGCCAGATACCTTCCATGGGAAATTTTGACTCAAGTTTTCTTCACATATGATTCATTGTCCAAGTGGTGATGACTCACCACCAAATTAGAACCAACAGTACTATGAATAAGTAATTATTGAGCCTTACTTGTAATCGTTATAGATACGTCCATCACTGTCTCTTACATTTCTGTATAAGTGCATGCTTTCCAAAGTGTTTTCGTGACCGTTATCTTATTGGCTTGCCATGGTAACATTGTGACACAGAAAGGTTGGTAACTATCGTACTCATTTCATAATTGAGAAATCTGAAACCTAGAGAAGTAGAGTGTGTTATCCAAGATTACACAGCTTGTTAATGAGGGTTTTGGGAGAGAAAACAATCCTGGTGATGAGTCTGTCAGTTTATTGTTCTTTCTACCATAAACACTTGAGCTCTTCAGAACCCTCTGCTATTACTCAGCTTTTTTGAAAGGGAGGTCAAATATGATCATTAAAAGCATGAAGTTTAATAGAAAATCTACAGTGATTCATTAAAGAACAGCTTCAACCCATCTGGCAAAACATGGACTTTGGTTGGGAGGCCATGGCCAGCTGCAGAGCTGCTGGCAGACCTGAAATGCAGAAGGCAGGTGGCATTGGAGATATTGGCTCCAGCTGGTGACCAAAGAACCTGCTTCACATATATGCCAAGGGCAAAGGACTTTTGATTTCCAAAAGTACTGTTACAGTAGCTGTCATTAAATAGGTTTAAATTATGTTAGTGCCTGGTAGAGCAGGAATTCTTCACGTGCGATTTAGGGACGGTGAATCTCTTGATTGTATGGGTGAAGATGAAAATATGCAATCGTTACTCCCTATGCAGGTGATGTAAAGCTGCTCTCAGTTTCTCCAAGTGCCTTCACATTTAAAGACATGCTACTTCTAGAGGCCGGCTAGTTCCTTCTGGATAGTGGGCTTAAGACTTTAGGTCCTCTGGAGAGGTGGATGGTGGTCATTCTTTGGTTTGCAAGGCATTTAGTAGTGAGATTACTTCAACAGGCAGATGACTGAGAAAAATCATGTAACCTAGTTGGCATTCTTTTTTACATAAAATTTAAGTATATGCATGTGAGTATCAATAGACTTCCTTCATGCAAATGCCTAAACTATCATTTATCAAAGCATGTTCTACAAAACACGGTTCTCTGGGATTTAATGGGGTCATTTGGGGGCAAAAAAGTTTCAGGGTCACATGATTTAGACAGACCGGGTTAAATAAAATTCAACAGGGAGTCTTTTCCCCAAGTGACTTCTCAGAACCATTCAAATGGTCAAGTGCATTGTTAGGTCTCTAAGGGCCATACGACCTATGGCATTTTCCTATTTTATTTTCTATGCAGCAGCCCTCTTGACTCCTGGATCTATTGTTTCTAGCCCAGACCTTTTTCTTGAGATCTAGACCAATTAAAAAAAGAGAGACTGAGGCACAATAACAGTTGAGCTGCAGAGAAAACTGATTTAAAACATTGGGGATTTATTCATAGCATACGAACGTGAGCAGCCCCAGTGAACACTGTCCACCCAAGGGCAAGGTGAGGTTTACAAACGAGCAAAGCCACAAAACTTTGCAAGGAAGACTACAGTAATTTGTTGGTTTAAATAATCCTTGGCTTGTCCATTTGGTTGGGCTGGTTACAGAGGAACTGGCTGCCATGGGAGGCTGAACCCAAAGTCCACACAGCAGAGCCACTGTTTCACCATCAGGGTGGTTTCCTGATGTGGTCACCCAGGTCCCTCATCTGGGCCACACCTGCTTGCTGTCTGCACCCTGCAAGATCCTGCAGTGGCACTTGGAAAATTTCCTTATCAAGGCCCGTGTATTTATCTGCCTTCTGAGCCTTTCTGCTTGAATATTTTGCAAATGCTTTAGGCACAAAGAAAATAATTGACCTACTAACTTTCACACCTTATCTCCCCAGCTACAGTGTTCCCATCTCAATGAGTGGGGACTCACCTCCATCTCCCAAGACAGAAATCCGGGTGTGAGCCTTTCCTCACCCTTTTCCCACTCCCTCTCCATTAAATTAACCTCCAGCCTCCCACAATTCCCCTGCCTGCAGTCTAACCACTAGTGCCCTATTCAGTAGCAATCCATCCCTACATTCTACTTAATCCGTATCCCTGCCTCCCTTCTCCATGCTGCAGGGAGCATAACCCTTCAGAAATGAGAGCCCAATCATCCCATTCTTTGGTTAAAACCAATCAACAATTCTGTTGCCCGTAATGAAAATCCAGTCTCTCTATTTACCCTGTTTACTGCTGTTCGCAGAAGGTTCTCCACTGCATCTCTCACCATTGTCTGCATTACATTCCCTGCAGCTACCCTGCTCAAAGATTTAATTTCCTCCCACAAAGCATGCTCTCTCTTTCCCCCAGGCCTTTGTTTTCTCCTTCTCTGCACAGACTCACTCTCTCTTTGTCCTCTGAGAAGTAGCTCAAATGTTACATCTTTCAGAAACACTTTCCCTGCCCCACTCATGGTGAGCCTCCATTAGCTTTTCTCAGAATAACACATTTCCCTCACTTGGCACTTCCTGTTAGTCTTCCTTACTCCTATGAGGACAGGAGAATACCTCTTCATTGTACTCCCAGTGCCTAGAAGACCTTTTACAAATAATAGTTTAAAAAAAAATTGCAAGAAGCTCAGAGATATGTTCCAAGTGTTTTGTATAGCCTATTCCATAACAGAAAAATAAAAGATTTGTTCTATTGTATAGAACAAATAAAAAAAATAAACAATAGTTGAAAAAAGAAAAATGGATAAACACTCTTTGTCAGTCTCTCCTCTAAATAATATCCTGACAAACAAATTTTAAAGAGGTATCATGTCTTAGTGCATGTTGTCTTCCTTAGGTGTTGTAAGAACCTGCCTTCCCTTGGTCTGACAGTCTGCTCCCTTTGGTGTTTTATGACTCAATCCCCAATGTTTTAAATCTGTTTTCTCGCTTAACTCTCAGTGTTCCTCAGTATATTTTTCTTTTTTCCTTGAATTGGTCTGGACCTCAAGAAAGAGGTCTGAGCCAAAAATAATAGATTTAGGAGCCACATGGGCTGCTGCATAGGAAATAAAATAGGAAAATGCCACAGAATGTATCATCCTTAGAAATAATAGAAATCATCATAATTATCAAGTGTGTAAGGAATTATCTGTGCTGGCATTACCCATAATCATCTCATTTAATTTTCACAACAATCCTATGAACTATGTGTGATTATTACCACTGTTTGA